ACTTTCACCTAGCATAACATATACGCATAGAATGGCGTGTTTCAACAGGGGGCTGTGACGTCACATGACCTAGATTAATATTCATGTGTTTCTTACAAATTGGGCGCCGGATTTGAAATGGAATACGTTATTGAATGTATTTCTATGTATAAAAACGTTACAGAAGTTATAAAATTTGACTTCAATTGTCCTTTGAGAGAAAATAGATGTATATGCAACTTGATATAGACATATATATATACAGGGTTCTCCAACCTTTTTCATTATAGCATAGGGGTGCTGCCTTTACGGTCCTAGTTGCAAATCGCCGAAGGCGGTTTGCGTGTTAGGGGGTCCGGGGGCTATGATATTTAGAGTGGTGGGTGCATTTTAGGATGGCTGGGTTCGACGATAGCCTGGCGGGCCGCCAGGCTATAAGTGCTCTTGGAGAACCCTGAATTATATATATCAAGAGCTAATAAATACCTAGAGTGTACAACAGAAAAACGGGAAAATAGTGCTATTTCACGGCAATATTATTCTACTTTGCCTGCAAGTCTAGAATAATTTTATGGTATTGCATTAAGCAGCATTCTTTGCTCTCTAAATCAAGACCAACCGCTTGTCTCTACGATACTCCTAGGCTGAGATATTGGCTCGTAAACCTCCCCTCCCACAGGCCTCACGCCGCCTCGCATCCAGATTATTCCCGAACCTTCTCGCATTTTGCGGGTTAGGAAAGTCGCTTCGTGAAAGTTAGGGTCCTAGGGTCCTAGGCCCTTATCTCCCATTATCTTTCCTAGCACAGCTAATGTCCGTAATGATGGAGCCGGCAATGTTTTCTAAATTAATTCTCTACAATGCAGCTCAGTGAATTTGGCAAGAATACCAAATTTGGGCATGTGACATCAATTATCAGCGCTCCAAGCGGCGACGGAAAACGATAGCCAGAATCCTTAAGCGCGAGAAGGTTTGAGAATAATCTGGATGCGAGGCGGCGTGAGGCCTGTGGGAGGGGAGGTTTACGAGCCAATATCTCGGCCTAGGAGTATCGTAGAGACAAGTGGTTGGTCTACTCTTGTTTTAGAGAGCAAAGAATGATGCTTAATGCAATACCATAAAATTATTCTACCCTCGCAGCCAAAGTAGAATAATATTGCCATGAAATAGCACTATTTTCCCTCACCTTAGCAACAACGTACTCTCTCACCTTAGCGACAATGTACTCTCTCACCGTAGCGACAATGTACTCTCTCACCTTAGC